GAACCATTCAAGCTAGAGATTTCGGTTTGGCACCGTTGGATAATGAATTGAATGGCCCACATTTCTGCAAATACTTGTGGGCTCTGTAGAAGAGAGAAGCTGAAGCCGATTGCCCTTAGTGAACAATAAAAACCCGATAAATCCACGATTAAATCGTACGTTTATTCATCATTAGCTTTACATAAACGGTCCATTGGTGGCTCATTGCGTTTTTCTACCAACTGCACTGATTGGCTGCGGATGGGTCTCGATGTAGGCCAAATGGCTGGCAATTTCCGGGAAAATATCATCCCCTAAAACAAATGAAAATGGCCAATGAAAATTTGCACTGTGGGAGCGAAAAGAGGTACCTTTGATGAAGAACCCGTACTCATTAGCCACATACTGTCTGCTGTGGGTTTTCCCTTCTGGGTCCACGTAGCTGTAGGATCCTTTCACATCCTCCACTGCCACTTTGGTGTCTTCAGCTTCTCCACTCACTTTCACGGTTTTCACCTCGGCAGCCTGCTCCGCTTTGGTTCCATCCCCAGATTCGAAACTGAAAAACCGTGCAAATGAGTGTTCAAATCTGAAATAAAACGCTCTAATAAAATCTCTACCTCCAGTTGTAGGTGCCATCAGCTTTTCCATCGGATTTCTGGTCCAAAATGGGCACTGGGGCAGGGTAGGTGGTGATTTTTTTGGGCCCCTCTGAGGAAATCGGCCCTGCAACTGAAGCGGTGCTTAGAGGGTCTTTCCCAATGGAAATATTTGTCGCTGGTTCCACCAGAGGAGCGTTTTCCGTGGAAATCGGCAATGGAACCTCCCCCAAATCACTTGCTACTGGGAGGCCGCAGGCGAAAGCCACTGAAGCGAAAACTAGTATAACTTTGAACATTTTTTCGGACCGCTCAAAAACCACTGTGCCGTCCCAGAGCTCCAGGCGGGGTTTTATAGGACTTCTGGCAACTTTTTTTGGTCGATTTCACCCAAAAGAAACCCGTAGATTTAAACCCAGCGAATTTTAATGGGTACTTAAGGCAAACAAACAGCACATTAGCTATTTTAAGCCGCTGGTTTAGCGGGTTTTCGAAGGGTGAACGGCCCATCATCCAAGAACCCATTAAAGATGGGTCCACTGGGCCGACCAAATGGTCCTGTTTGGGCCAACTCAGACGCAATAAATTCGCCGGGACAACCATAAAATGCTTAGAAACAAACAGCAGAAGAGATGGAAGAGTAATTTTTATAAATAGATGCTAAAAACGGAAAAAATGCGCTTAAAAGTCAAGGATGCGTCGTGTCGCTACATCTTAATACGCTTTAATGCCAATGAGACATGCATAATTCATCCTAACGGTGGTTTATGCCGCTGCAAATGGCAACATTTTCCTTGTCTGTTACAGCCAGGTTTTTGAGGAAGTTTTTGAGTAAAACACTGGAAAAGCACGTTATTAAGCTAAGTGTGGGAGTACCATCTTCCCCAAAGAATGAACTGATCCTACAGAAGAAGCTATTGAAGCATCCAGTAGGGAGAGAGGTGTGTAACATTGTCGCTTTTGCCCTACAGGGAGGTTCATTCTCCTTTGCATTCCGAATGGAATTTTCCTATCTACAACCTGATGTAACTGCTGTTTCCCCAGTGCTCCTCTAAGTGAATTTGCATGTATTCCACCGAAAAATCATCACCTTTTATGGGCTAAGAGGACAACGCAAGGTTACCGATGTACGAGACGTAATTAATAAACACATCAGTAAATAGCAAGCATCTTCGCTTCGATCCGAAGTCTGGTACAATGCAGAGAGGCTTTGAGAGATAAAACTGGCACTTTCAGCCGAAACTGATTGTTACATCAGCAATGTAATAGATTGACGATCGGTTGGCTAATCGCGGCACCACAAAGGACCATAAAAGACTCGCGCCCACTATGAAGAAGTTTCGCTGAAGTCGGTCATTCATCTTTTTTGTCATCGGCTTTTGTTGGTCGAAGAGAGCAACGCGTGTTCTTAATTTCGTCGGAATTATGCAATTTCTAGTTATTTTCTTCGTGTAGTTACACACCCATTGATATTTTTGCTTGTTTGGTGTACGCATTAGCGATTGTTGCGTCAATGGACGTCGCCGTTTTGAATAATGGGCGACGCGAAGATCATTAATAATTAACACTTGGATGAGTGGACTGTGTGGAAGCTGAGGGACGAAACTGTGTGAAAAATGTTCATTATTCGCGTGGTGTAACGACGATTTGAATGAAATACATGGACTGTGGAGGAATTTATCAGTTCATGTTAGGGAGTCTGATTAGACAGCATATTTCTTCCAGGTGGTCATCTAACTAAAGATTCAACGGTCCAAAAATATCAAGTCCATGCTACAGAAGAGAGTTTTTCAAAGAAAACCCTGCAGTTGCGTAACATCCGTAATTTGTTCCTAACTTTACAAATTTCTCAAAAATCAGAATGCAGTGCGATCGGAATGGAATGTGTTCAGGTGTTTAGACTCAACTGTTTTCCCCAGACTGTGAAAATTCTACGTCAGTAGTTGATCCAGATGGAAAGTGAGGAATTTTTAAATAAAACGTGCAGATGCGAAAAAGTCCTCATATATAATAATAATCAATAACATAATGATAATCACAATAACTTAAACGACACACTTTGTTGATATGACCTGCTACGTCACACTCGGGATAGGCAACTCAGGGGCGGATCCAGCTTTAAATTCAGGGGGGGGGGGTTTGGTAGAAAAAATACAGTCTTCTGTTATCTATAAAATTAGAAAAATGATCGTCGTTTTGTGCAAGGGTGGCGTAAGATTATTGCAAAATTTCATCTTTTCCGTCCAGTTTTGCATGTTTTTCGGAAGCAAAATGAGCAAGAACGCTCGTTTTTACATCATTCCAAAGAGAACTAAATGGCCGTTTTAGAAAGTGAACCATGGATGGGGAAATGTTGCAGTTTTCTCCAAAAATGCTTGAATTCAAGAAGTTTTACATTTCCGAGGTTTTTTTGAGTTGCAAAATCCGCTTGAACGTAACGCTGCTTTTTTAGAAGTTTCTCAAGAACCATTTGAGCTACAGTATTTATTTTGGCATCGTTGGATAGAGAATTGAAAAGTCGATTCAGTCGTAACAAAGTGAGTGAGGAAATTCGAGTAGTTTTGACC